TAAACTTATTTTATACGTTTGATACACACATCCCATCAAACATATCACATACGCGAATATATTATATACTGTTTTAGTTGTAATAATCATGATTAGGTAAATTATTTGTTATTATTTAAATAAACTCACAACTTACATTGATAGCAATTGTTATATTTATCATGTTGTTGTGCTAAACAAAATGTTAAAAGTATCAATTGTTTACCATACGTATAATGTCTATTGATTTCTAAAGTAAATAAATCTAATTAATTTTATTGTGTTTGTGTTTAATGTACTATAAATTGTATAGAAAATGCAATTCATATTATAATTATGATGATCTTACATGATGATACAATACATATTAACTATTGATTTATCATTATATTTTGCAAATCATATAAATATTATTAATTTTGCCTCACTTATTATATGAAACAACTTTAGTACACAGACTTTTTGTGAAAAATCTAATACATTCTAGTTTAATCAGTTATAAAATATTTCATAATAACTAACTCGTAAAGCAAATAAGTGCAATTTTTAATGATGTTCATATTTTTTAAAAATAATTATAATGTTACAACAGTTTTATATGTGCTTAAATCACTTTAACTGCATAGTGATTTATTTATCATTCAGTACTTAATTTATAATTTTTTGTAATTAATTTTTAAATTGTAATTAGAAATATGGCAGATTTAAAAATGGCAAACAATTATCATTAATAAAATAAGTTATTATTACAAAATATTTCAGATATTAGGTATATCACCTTCAATCAATAAAACTCATGTGAAGGAAAATTTAACTTGTTTATTATTAAAAATTTGAATTTATAAAATAAACACATTCAGTTTATATATTTTTAAGAATATCCGACAAATCCTTGAAAATATATTCAGCGGAATCACTAAAATCAATAAATGCCAGTTTTTGCACCTGGGTTAACTCGCTAATATATTTTCTCTCCTCCTCAATTTTTGCGCGAACCTGATCAAAATAAAAATTATGTTTAATTATTATAATAATACGTTAAATATAAATAAATGCATACTTTATTAATCTGGCTGATCAATGAACCACATGTGTTTATGTGCTTATCCTTTAGCTCGGGGTGCAATTCAATGTCGGTGACTAAATCATTTTTACCCTGGAGCACTTGTTTTATACTAGCACTCACATCTTTTTGGAAGTCAGCCCACTTGTATGGACTGCCCGCGTAAACTATAAATAAGGTAATTATTATATAAACAAAAATTATTCTTTATTATTAAATCAGAGTAATATTATTACATAAAATTGTAAGACTCAATAATATGAGCAAGCTATAAGATTGCCAATATAAAAAATTTTAATTGTATATTTACCTAGGGCAAACGTTGTCACAATGGCTGCAACAATAATGATGAATCGCATAATAAACTTGTATTGTTTGTATTTAAACAACTAAAAACACTATTATAATAAGAATAGTTGTATTTTAACTAGCTCACTTGATTTTATATGTTCTAAATAACAATGGTTATCTCTGTGAGAATATCTAAATCAGTCATTAAATACTTACCTACATTATTGTTATCAAATTGAAAACACTTATGTTATATGATTTCGTAGAAAAATACGTACAATTTTACCCCATAGCAAAAATAATAATACCTAAATATAGCAAACAAAAAAGCTGTATAAAATATTTACTTATAATGGATATTCTATGATTGTATAAAATTGTAAATTTATCTTATTTTAAGTAGATTAACTAAATATTATGCAACTAAATTCATTAGAAATAATTTTTGTATATTTTGTAAAAACGCTGTTTAAATTATTATCATAATTGATTGACTTACTTATTATATTATTATAAAATAACTAATCATTTTGACATCAATGCACTGTTTAAGTGATGTTAAATTCAATTATGCAACAAATTATCAATAAGTTTTTGTTATTGCACAATCATTATGGGTATTCTATAATTGTAAATTTATCTCGGCTTAAGTGAATATACTAAATACTATGCAACAAACTTCTATGAAATAAATGTGCGGATATTTGACTTATCTTATTTTAACTAATCAATTGCATCAAAATTTTGTAAATAGTAACTTAATAGAAACTGAGAATTGAAACACTAAGTAGTATATTCTATAGATCTAGATAAAACAAAACAATTGCAATTGCCCAATTAATACACAATCATAATTATCAATTAATATTAATTACAACCAAAATTATTTTTGTATAAATAAAAAATATTTTCAAGCTAAAAATCATTCAATTTACAACTTTTGTTATAATTATTTTAAAAAATAAAAATAACTATTAAACTATCATGTTTAAAATTATAAGCTTAGCATTAGTAATGGGCATTGTTACGGCCGGTAATATACCGTTCGAAAAATGTTGTAAGTATATCGCAAGTACAATATAAATTCAACATTGTACTATTAATTTACACTAACGTTAATGAATAAATTGTTAAAATAAATATTTTTTAAATACAGTAATGGACCCAGCTGGTACGTGCACACGTTTTGAGATCGAGGGCTGTGAGCCCGGCAAACGATGTACAGTGGTTCGTGGAAATAACCTAGTTCTCGACGTTGACTTTATATCAAGTAAGCATTATATTTATATATTAACCATATTACATTATTTTTATTTAAACTCTCTCTCCCTCTCTCTCTAAATAATAAACTAAAATATATTTATTCATTAGCAAAAGCATTTGAACACCCAAAACTGACCATGGCCATATACCAAGGTGGCGGCGGCATTGTGTCCAAAATGGATTTCCACAATAGTCTGCCTCACTTTAACGCCGACGCGTGCGCGCACACCAAGTGTCCCATTGAAGCGGGTGTTAAGCAAACATTGTACTTGAATCAAACTATACCTGATGACTTTTACGTTCTCACTAATAATATGAAGTTGGGCGTTTCAATTATTGATGATTTTGATCATGATAATAACATGTTCTGCAGCATGGTCATTGTTGATCTCGTAGATCAATAAATTTTGTTTTTATGAACATAAATTTTAATTTTGTTAATTTTAAAATTTAATTTGGTTTAATAAATTAATTGGTAGTAACTTATTTTTTATTTATGTAATTTAATAATTTTCTAATAAAATAATGATATACAGTAAATGATACATCTCATTAAGAAACGTATAGATATTTATTTAATATTTATTTTCTGTTTGTATTGTACTATATTTTAAATATAAAACACAATTTCATTATACAAACTATTATAAAATAATGAAATAAAAGTCATAGATAAATGATCTAAATAATTAAAAATATTGTAATAAATGTATGTTATTTTTGTTTGTTTTCACAAAATTAGCCCTGATCTAATGTGAATATTTGTTGTCGTGACGTTTACTCCTTACGTTATCTTTAATATTTAGTATATTCTATATTATTATTTTACGGATAACAAATAGATTCTGTTATTGCATTAATATAAATGTATAATAGACTGTATAAACATATTTATTTCTGTTTATTAAAAATATTAATATATTTTATTTTATATAAGCTATTTATTGCAACGACTTTGCAAATAAAAACATTTATTTATAAGGCAATAATAAATTTATATTTTCATATTTAACCAATAAAACGTATTATATAAAATGATAATTAAAATATTGATTATACATTTGATTATATTAGAGTAAATATTCTGATTTATTCATATATTTCAACCAAAATAAATTAATATATATTTATTATTCCAGAAATATTTTACTTAAATTCATATTATGTTTTATTAAATATTATTTTATTAAATTTGTAAGACTAAACACATTTAAGTGTACTTTTATTTATGACACTAGAACATTAGCTAAATTATTTCACATTTATTAAATTTATTTATAAATAACTTAATTAAAAATGATTGTTGACAAATTATTAAATAATAAATTTGCAATAATATCATACGTGATATGTTTGATGGGATGTGTGTATCAAAC